TGCAGGCGGCTCTCTGGCTAGACCCCTCCCCCTCCCTCTGGAGGCCCTCCCCTGCTCACAGGTTTTCAGAACCTCTCCTCGGCTGGGCAAGCAGGCCCTTGGCCTGCCCCTCATGCTTGTGAGGCCCCATGTTGGCCTCCTCTAATATCTTACCCTTAGGTGAGAACCTGTGGGGTCGAGGGGGCTATTCCTACGGGCCCCTGCTCCCCGTCCCAGACTGTGCTCCAGACACCCAGGACCCAGGATCCAGGATCCCATGTCCAAGTGGTCCGAGCCCATTTCAGGGCCTCTTCTTCAGATCCACCCCTGTGGGTAGACCACACCACTGGGCCACCTGCCCCTGGGTGTGGTTGTGGACCGGGCCTGGGCAGAGGGCTGGGCATGAGGTGCAGCTCCTTGAGGTGCCAGGGGAGGCCGGTGGAGGCAGAGCAAGGGCCAATGGCTGGGTCTGGAGCAGAGGCCCAGAGCTGGAGGAGGCTGAACCCCAGGCTGTCAAGGCCTGTGTGGCCAGGCAGCAGGGTGCATGTGTCTCACCCAACAGTGTGGGGCTTGTTTTGCTCTTAAGTATTCAGATATATGTGGGAGCCCCTTGCCTGGTGCATAGTTTAGGGATGGACCTGGCACTTTCGTCTCAACCGCCATTTGCTCCTCTGGGCCACTCCGTGGCCATGGCCGACACCCCTCCTCTGCCACAGACATACCGGGGTCTGCTCAGAAGGGAGGACTCTTCATCCAGGTCTCCCCAGGCTAGCTCCCTGCCTCTTCACTTTGGTTGGAGGACAACCCTATATGTCATCCACACTGAGTCCTTTGAGCCTGAAGGCGTGCTGGATAGCTTCCCTGGGCAGCACCTTGCCCTGGGACTGGCCTTCTGACCCCTTCCAGGGGCTGCAGGTGTGGCCTGGCCTGGCAGCTGCTCGCCTTGACCTGATGGCTGTCACCTGGTACTCAGGGTGTGCAGCAGGACCCATGCTTGCTCCACCAACAAGGGTGGGGACTTAGCACCTACAGGGCCAGTCTTGACACCAGGGACGGAGCTGACAGACCACTGCTTCCTCTTCCTTCCCAAGCCAGAGCCTGGTGACTGAACAGTACAGCCATCATCATCTTTCCTGTCTTTCCTACTCCCTGAGCAGCCCCCAGCCATCACTATCTGGGGTCTTTATGCCAGTTTTCCTTTAGGGGTCCTGGACTAAGCTGCTTTGCAATTAAGTTCCTCAAAAAGCAACCAGGTGCAAACTCACTCCACCTCCAGTCACAGAAGGCCCAATGATGGCCTTCTCAGGAGGACCTTTCCTCGGGATGCTGGCTCCTGCCCGCAGTCTCCCGGGGCTCCACTTTTCCTGAGACTTCCGGCCTCCTGGGGCCCTGGTCTCTATTCTTCTTACGCTCGACCTGTTCCATATCTGGTTTACCTCCACCATGACTGTGGCTGCCTCCTCTGTGCTGATGACCCCCATGTTATTTCAAAGAATGACCAAACCGCGACAAAAATAGCTTTGGATGGGATCTGTCCAGTCAAGGTCACCTCCAGGTATTCAGTGGTCCAAGGCTCGCCTGGGCAAGAGGAGGTAGGTGAGGGTTTGTAACCAGCTGTTTCTTGTCTCTGACTACTTCCTGGTTGAGCTGTCCCTGTTGCAGCAGGTCTGAGAAGGAAGCTTTGAGCGGCAGGTGAAAGATGCAGGTGAGCCTAGAGGAAGAAGGCAGGCTCAGGGCGTGACAGGCCCTGAACTACCCTCCCCCGCGGATCCCAAGTCAGGCTCCTCACCTGTAGTGCAGCCGGCTTCGCGGATTCTCTCAGCATCCACCCTGCTGTTCCCTTAGTTAACTTCCTGTCCTTTGGGATATTTAAAAATGGCTAAAAACTAATACCAGATGAACAAATAGGAAACAGTGATCTTTTGTCATTTTCAGAAGAAACCACTGGGAACATTTTGATTACTTTTTCTCATCTTTTTTTGTTTTTATTTATAAAAATTATATTGCATGATGTTTTGTAGTCTTCCTGTTTCCTTACAACTGTAAAATTAACTTTTTTCCAAGATAGAAAATCCTGTAGTTGTATGTTCATTCCAACCCCCCGCCTTTTTTTCTGTGAAACATTAAGCTTAATGTTTATCAACATCCATATTTATTAGGATCAAGTTATGGAAGTGGAATCACTATGTGAAAGAATACGCAAAATTTTAAGGTTTTATTTGTGCTTGCAGTTAAGTAACCATCCAGAAGTTCCTCTCAGTTGACACTCAGTTCATGTGCAATGATGCTTATTTCTTCACATTTGCTTTTATCAAACAGAGAAAGCCTTGCGTTTCTCCTGTTATTAGGGAAGAGAACATTCTGTCATGTTTATTGGGTGTTGTGTTTTCTCAGTCCTTGTCTCCGTCTTGCTTTTGGAATGCACGTTTTTGTCTCAGCATTGAAAGCTCTCTTTCCTGTAAAGGAGATTAGCTTTATGAAACAGGCACACACTTTCCCACTTTTAATTTTATCCGTGTTCTGATGCACAAACAGTTCCTCCTTCCTCTTCAAACTGGGTCACTATTGCTTTCTCTTGGCAAAATCTCCCTGCACAGGCACAACTGTTACGAGTTAAGGAGATCAGACAGGTGTTCATCTGTGTGACCTATACTCCAGTCCAGATTTGCATCATTCCCTTCCCTCCAGGAAGTTCTTGGTGCCCCAGTCAACCCTCTGCTCATCCATCCCAAGGAAGAACCCCTTCTGATCTCTGCCCTGCACAGGTAGTTGGCTGGGTTGAGTTTCATGCTAATGGTCATAAAATGTCTCTTTCAGCCAACGTCATTATGATGCTGACATTCATCCACTGGTCATAGTTCATTCTTTTTTATTGCTAAATAGTATTCCCTTATATTCCACAATTAGGAATTATCCAATTTCCTGTTGATTGTACCCAACATTTTAATTCATGGTCATATTATCAATATTTCCATTTATGATTGTTGATGGCATTCTCCATTCCATAACTCTTATAGAAACATCCACTAAGTTTTTCCTTAGTACATTTAACATTTAAAACTTCATTTAATTTGATAAGGTACAAATTCAGTGTTATTCTTTACTCTTCAAATGATTAGCACATACTCTCTCGCATTGTGTTATGATTTGAACTCACCTTTTTGCATTTTAAGTCATTACTGGGGTGATATTAAAAAATACTGAACAATTGGTGCTGCACAGGCAAGGACCAGGCTGGAAGAGGCACACAGGCATGCTGGATGTCAGCCTGGGTCAGCATGTTTTCATATTGGAGTTTAGATAATATGTTTTCTATGAGTTTTCCTTCATTACTTTTCTTTTTGACTGTTCTCAAATGTTTATTCTTCCAGATGACACTGTCAATGATTTTGTCAATTCCCAGGCTTTACTGGGACTCGGAGTTACATTTAATATTTGAGGTGTTTTCTGGCTAATGTGGTTGGGCTATTCTATCATGTGCCCTAATGCATACACTCAGCTCAGTGCCTACTACATAGTCAGTGCTCAATGCTACTGTTAGCGAATCTAAGTAATTGCTTTTTCTGTATTTTATCATTAGTCACTGGCCGGACTTCTACCAATTCTAGATTTTGAGTCTTTGAGGATGTCTTCATTTCTAGGGATTGGTTTCTTCCGCCACTGGGGCTTGTTTTTTTCAGATTGGGATTCTCCTTAAATGCCTTCGGTGAAGCCCCAAGTGGATGCTCCCTGGTGTTGGGAACATTCCTCCTTCCCTGTTTGCTCTGTTCAATGCTCCACCTGCACAGCTAAGGACCTTTCTTTTATTGTACATAACTCTCCTGAGCCACTTTTGTTTTTACTGGCCGAGGACAAGCATTGTTCTGACAGCCCCCAGCCCCCAAGCTTCCCTGGTGCAGAAAAGGCAAGCCGGATTCTGGCACAGGTTACCCTGATGCTCCCCAGGGGCCTCTCTCTCCTGGAGCTCAGGACTCTCGGTGAGGTCCAACTGGTACAAAGCAATGAGACTGCTTGTTCTCTGAATTGGAGTCTACCTTTTAAAATCAATCCCACGTAGGATTATATACCAGAACCTTCTGATAAGACTTTTTGTTCAGGCATATGTCTCCCACTTGTACTTGTAAAATCAATATTAAGAGATGTTTATATGCCAGGCTTCTATTGTAACATTGTTGCACGTTCTAAATAGTCCTGTCAAATAATCTTGACTCTTGATTTTGTCATCTAAACGTTGCTGGCTGCCGACGCTGCTTCACTCCATGAGTAGGTGACAGTGCGCCTTCTCCCTGGGCGTGACGACCTCTCTGGTGGGCATTTCTCCACCCTCGGCTGGGAGGCTGAACTGTCCTAGAGCTTTCTTACCACGAGCAAAGCCCCGAGATGGTCACTTGGGGGCAGTTACAGTAACGGAGAGCTGCACATCACCTTGCAAGCTGTATTTGTGCCCACAACTACAGCTTTCTCGTGGGGCCACGAGGCCTACCGACTGCGCAGAGGCCGAGGCCCGGCACCGCACGGCTCGGGGGCTCCCCGCCAGAAGGCGGGTTCCGGTCACTCGCTCTGGGCGACCGCGGCCCAAGCCGCCAGGAGGGCGCCGGGATCACGCCCTCCCGCGCTCCGAGGCAACCTCAGGCGCTGGGCCCCGGCCTGCAGAGGGCCGAGCGCCGCCTCGAAGCGCGCTCCCGGACCTCGGGAACGCGGCGACGGACGAGCGAGGCCAGCCCGCGCCTGCCCGGCCCGCGTTCCCGCTCCGGTCCCAGCCCCGCCAAACAGCCCCGGCCGCACCCCGGGCCCTGCGTCCGCCCCGAGGCAGGGCGGGGCCGCCGCGCCTGCGCACTCGCCCCGGTCCCTGCGTCCCCGGCACGCAGCCCACGTGACCTGCGCCCGTGCCCAAGATGGAGGCTGCGGCAGGGCCTGGCCAGCCCCCTGCCTCAGCCCGCGCGTCTCTGCGCCCCCTCCGAGCACTAGCCAGCTGCGTGGGCGCGCGGTTCTGATCAGTGGCAGCGCTGCAGGCTGCCAACTGAGGTTGGCTACGGCTGAGGCCCGGTTTCCAGTCAGTATCCGCCCCGGCTCCCTCCGCTTTCTACATTGCGAAGCGCCCGGCACTGGCGCCTGGAGCGTCCTCCGGTACGCCCCGCCCCCTAAATTGACAGCGCCGGGAGCCAATGGGGTCGTGGATATGTGCGGGAAGGCGGGCAGAGGTGGAGCCTCTGTACGGGGATCGGGGCTTGGGGCCGACGGTTGGGCTGACGCAGGGCGGGCACAGGCCCCGCTGACCAATGGAAGGGCATCAGGGTGCCCGGGGGCTGGGCCGAACCGTAATTGACGCGCTCTTCATTAGAAACCGGGAGGGGGCGGGGCCCGCGAGGGGAGGTGACGCAAAGCCGCCGCAGCCAATGGCTGGCGGGCCGCCGGCGGGAGGGGCGGGGCTGGGGCGACTGACAGGCGTCGGGCGCGGCCTATCCCCGCGCGGCTCGGTGCTGGAGGGGGGAGCAGCATCATGGTTCAACGTGGGTCAATTTTTTGTGAATGAGGAGGGGAGGTTGTGGGGCCGCCGCCGCGGAGCACGGTCCCCGCCGCCGCCCGAGCCCGAGCCCGTGCGCCCGCCCGCGCCCT